GGGACCTTGTTACATGCTGAGCCTGCACACGGGCCCCATTTTGGGGGCCCGACGGTTGCTGGGGGCCCCCAGGCCGCACGCCCCGCAGACGGGCGCCCTGGAGGCTCACGGCCGGCCTTCGGGCCGCAGGTCTCGATTTGAGGCAGCATTCATTTATTTATTTATTTATTTTATTTATTTGCTGTCCTATTTTTGTCTGTTCAGGCATCGTTCCGGACTTGCAGTTCGTCCGAACAGACTTTCGGTCTGTTTGGACAAGGCCACGTTTTTGGCCTGGTACGGACGTAGGCAGGCCCTTGTGGGCCAGGTTCGTGTTTGTCCAGTAGCGGACGTCCCTGCTGCATAAGAAGGGAGGGTCTGGACGTCCAGTCGGCACCCAGACCGAGTAGGCCACATTTAGGCTGAGGACCAGAGGCACATGAAGGCACACCCGCGAGGCCCAGCGCTGCTTATAGCTGGGCCACGCCAGAGCCGACACACAGTTCGAGTAGCTCACTTCTTGGGCGACACGCTGCTGGAGCAGCGCAACACAGCGCTGCGTTAGAGGTAGAGGTGTCGGTAGAGTGAGAGGGGCGGAGGTCATACCTGCATCGTCGGTCCTCACCTGGGCGCCATAGCTGGCTCCACGCCAGCGACCTGCACAGAGACACACCAGCAGCAGTTAGTACATGGCGGCAGTGACCTGCAGGTGAGACAACGAGGAGGACGACATCTTCTTCTCCTTCTTCGTCTCACCCTCCATTTCTTCTTCCTCCTTCCTTCCTCCTCTTCTTCTTCTTCTTCTTCTTCTTCTTCTTCTTCTTCTCACCCTCCATCTCTTCTTCCTCCTCCTTCAGAGAGAGAGAGAGAGAGAGGTTACAGGCAGAGGTTACATTGGGCATGAAGCCCAGGATCTGATTCGACATTTTTGCGGCAGACATAGATTGGACATTCGGCAAGGAGACTATTTTTGGACTTCGCTATCGCGATTTTGGTCTTCTCCCTCACCTCCATCTTCATCTCACCTCTCCCCCATATCCTCATGCGTGGTATTGCCCCCATGTGCGTGTTCAATGAGGGACCTTTCTTCCATGTATGCGGTCCCTCCTCCTCCCTCTCTGACATGTGTGGTGTATGATGGGATGTCGCGTCAGTATCTGGTAGGTCAGGTCATATCTTTGAGTCTTTGGTTCCATTGAGCTACATTATGCTATTTTCATATGTATCTGGATGTAAATTGCTTGTTGATGCATTGCCGACGCTGCATTGTCCATTTGAGTCCTTTTCATCACTTCGCGGATCCTTGGCTCCGTATACATCGCTCAACTGAGCATGTATCAGACCTTCTTTGGTCCTTGCACGGCCGGACCGCCCAGGCAAACAAGGTGACCCGGGCGGCCCAGCTGGTAGCCTAGACTCCTCCTCCATTTGTTTTTTTTCCCCTCTATTTGTTTTCTCTTTTTTTTTTCTTTTCTTTTTTTTTGTGATGATTCTGCAGCTGCCGCAGCTGCTGTTTACCCTCCTGCAAACATCAACCGTTTTTTTTTCCTTTTTAAGTTTTTAAAGTTTTTTTTTCCTTTTTTTCCTTTTTTCCCTTTATTTTCCTTTTTTTTTCCTTTTTTTTCTTTTTTTTCCCTTTCTTTTCTTTCCCCCCCCCTTTTTTTCCCCTTTTTTTCTAGGAAGATTTCCATGACCGGCCGGTCACCCGGGCGTGAGCCCGGGGGGTTCTGACGACCGGGATACCCGGGCATGGGGAAAAACATTAAAAAATAAAAATAAAAAAATTTGATGGTGGGTTTTTTCCGCGCTCTCCGAGAGGAGCCCAAATCCGGGCTCATTTCTTTTTTTGAGAGTTGGCTGTCAAGGGGGGTGAAGGGGAGTATAAATGAATTTCAAAGGGGCTAAAGGGGTTTAAAGGGGGGTGCCTTAATGTGATTTTTTATTTTTTTATTTTTTTATTTTTTTATTTTTTTATCTTCGGTTCCGTGAGGAATTCTGATGTGACCCTCAGCCAAAAGTTGTTTGTATTGCAATTCTACACAACATATGTTTTTTTTCAGATTTTTTGTGGAGTTTTTTTTTTTTTTTTGCGCTGGGGCTGCCCGGCCCCATGCCCGGGGGTCATGCCCGGCCGGTCACCCGGTCGCCAAACCGGGCGTGACGTCGGGACCCGGGCGCCGGGGATATCTCCCTAGCTTTTTTTTCTTTTTTTCCCTTTTTTCGATTTTCTTCCCCTTTTTTTTTCCTTTTTCTATTTTGGCAAACAACTTAGTTCCTGGCTGCATGGTCTGTGCATGACATGATTCAGCTGCATTCCACGCGGATTGCGGAACTCGAAAAAGTGCTGGCGAAAGAGAAGGCGCTTGTGCAGAAGCTGGAGCAATTGAGGCTGCAGCTTGAGTCCAGAGTCTCCACGTTGGCAACTGAGCTGGTGAGATAACTTTTTTCAGTGCGCCACCTTCTGGGCGCAAGGTCCGACTACCAAAGAGGACTGGAGTAAGAAACTGAATCTGGATGTGTTCTACGCAGAGATTCAGAGAATCTGATTGAGAAAAATGGATCAATTGAAATTGTCCGTACCTCTTCGGAAACACGTCCAGATGCAGGAGTTAAATCCAATCCTCTTTGCAAGTGGGACCGCACACCAGGCGACTGATTCCCCCTCCAGGATCCCATCCCGCAGGCGGCAGCAACTTTTGATAACAAAAATAAACTTTAATGAATGCAAAAGAAGGATCGGTTTGGTTCTGCTACAACACCAAATCGAGGGGCTGCGCTTTATGAACGGTCCCTAGCCAATGTACCCTAGCCTAGACCAGAACCAAATCAAGGGGCTGCGCTTTATGGACGGTCCCTCCGAGTATTGGTAGGGCATGTTTATTTCTTTTTCCTCTTTCAAAATCCTATCCTATTTCATTCTCCTCCTCCTCCTCCTGCTTCACCTAATCAACTTTCTTCTCTTCCTCCTCCCCCTCCTCCCCCTCCTTCCCTCTCCTCCTCTTCATCAACATCATCATTCTCATTATCACTTTTTGTCATTCTCATCATCACTCTTTGAAAAAAAAAAAAAAACTTTATCCCTGTCATCTCATATCGTCATCATTCCCCCCATGTGGTTCTTCTTCTTCATTGTTATCTTGCATGTCACCTTCATTTTCGCAATAATCTTTGTCATCGTCTGTCGTCATCGTCATTTTCGCAATTTCTGCTGCCCTTCTTTTCTGGTCTGCTCCTACATGATGAGTATTCTGTTCCACATCCTTCTAATTTGGCTGCTGCGTTTTCTGTGTGTCGTTGGGATTGCCACAGGACCAAGCACTCCACGCAGCGAAGACCGCTGAACAGAACCTGGTGGCTGTAAAGGAGCATGCGGAAATGGAAAGAAATGCACATGTGTCAGCACTCCAAGCACAGAGTCAACAGGTAACCTTGTGCCCCCCCCCCCCCCCCCCC